ATGAAAACAACAATAACAATCTTTCAGCACTACAATATTACTTTTTACGTTCTTTAGATCCAGAATTCAATAATCTTACTTACTGTAGATATAACGAATTATATCATTTTACTTATATAGATAATCTGATTGATCAGCATTTCATTACCAACTTAGAAAAAAAATTAGAAGGGTATCATCAGCGCATTGTTAAACCATATAAACAAGATCATATTCACATAACAAGAATGAATATGATACGCCCATGTGTAGAAGAAAAATATTATCTTTGCATGCTTTTAAACTATCATGCAACTTGATCTTTTGATAACCTTTGAATAGTAAATAATATATTCTATCCCACTTTTCAAGATGCAACACTGCACTAGGTTTATTAAATGATACTACAGAATATAAACAGTGTTTTACTGAAGCCATATCATATAATTGTATACCAGCACAACTTTGCTTACTTTTTTGTCATTTAATTATAGAAGGAATAGCTGCTCAAACAGTTTGGCAAGAACACCAAGAATTGTTATCAGCTGATTATATAAATAGAAAAGGAAATACACAACAAGGAAAATATGAAGCACTAATGTGGATTACAAATTTTTTAGAAGAACATGGTGTTAAAATAGCACAAATCGGATTACCTCAACCACTTAATTATTTTTATTTTTTTTTATTTTTTTTTTATGAATTAATGAGATCTCTTTGGCCTGAAAGCTTTTATTAGAGCGTTAATGACGTTTTATAATGCAATTACAACAATAGTACATCAAGCCACACGTGCACCTTTTGGGTGCCTAATTTAAGTAGTCTGCCCGAAGGTTCTACACTATTTACCGTACCTGCACCCCAACTAGGGGGTACCCATTTAAACTATCTGGTTCTAACTGCCGCCTTCAAAACTCTAACCCTGGGTTTACTCACCATTTATGGATAGATTTTGCATCACTCTGAAGAGGATACACTGACTGCCTTAGGACTTACTAACCACTTCTGGCTAATCTATCCTTGAGGTAAACCTAACAGAGGGGTACATGTCCCACACATGTATCCACCTTCATGTTCTGTAACGGCTTCCTAATTAGTATATATTAATCTGCCGTTCCATATTCGTATCTCACACCACCTTTTGGGGTGCTGCCATTTTACGGACATTTCTCAAGCAACAACCTTCCCAACTAGGTGCTTATTACGTACTTATTGCCCTTAACTGGTTCACAACAACCCCGATACCCACATTCAAACCATCTTCTTACCTGGATTCTTTATCGGTCTCTCCCTTACTTCCAGCCGGCAACCTGGAAGGGTTGGTCTGCCCAGGCTTTAGGTACCTGAAGGACGCCCTCCTCTTGGTCCATACTTTCGGAGCATATGTCCTTTTCCTCTGGTGTGACAACCCGGCAATTCGGCTGGTGTGTCCTCTGCCATAGGACCTGGTCGCTTAGTTTTCTGATCTTAGGCCCCAGTTCGAATTTAGCCCTCCTGCGATACTGTCAAAGATCACTGCTACCTCCAGATTCGGGTCTTCCCAAATGAGTTTTCAGTTATGCCGGTTCCTCAGATTTATTGCGCCGAAGCTCCTATTTCTAGATGGTGTGACTGAATTTACAAATTATAGTTTTAGATCCAACTGATAAGCATAGCCATTAACTGAATACAGGTCTATTTTTCAAATATCGTTGCCAGTGGGATTTGAACTCTAGACCTGCCACTTGGAGAGAGTGATGACTAGACCACTACACTAAGTCGCCACACCTCTACTTAATTATTTTTCAGAAGTAATGCGCACAAAAATGCAATACAATAATTACAATACATTAATTTTAAAACAAGAAGAAATGATTCACCAGCTAAATACAGAACAAAAAATTATTTATAGTAAAATTATGAATCATGTAAATAACAATATACCTTTAACAATCTTTATTAATGGCCATGCAGGTCATGATAAAACATTTTTAGTAAATGCTATATTTATTGCAATATGAAGTTTAAAAAAAATAGCACTTCTTTGTGCAACAACTAGACTAGCAGCACTCAATTATAATGGAGGTCGCACTGCACATTCTTTATTTCATATTCCAGTAGAACACAATAATGATAGTTATAAATGTCAAATTAGCCCAAATAGCAATCGTGCTAAATTAATCCAAGAAGCATCAATCATAACATGAGATGAATTAACAATAGCACAGAAAGGTAATATTAAAGCGGTAGATGTATTTCTTAAGAAAATTTGCAAAAATAATTTACTATTTGGTGGAAAAATATTTGTAGAAATAGGTGACTTTCATCAAGTTGCACCTGTAATTCCAAATACTAGACAAATGGCTACAGTTTTAGAATCTGTAAAATCATCGCTAATTTGGAACACATTTGAAATTTATAATCTAGAGCAACCTGTTCGAGATGCTCTTGATCCTGAGTTTTCTCAATTTATGGACAACATTGGAGACAGTATAAATGGTAAAAATATTTCTCTACCACTATTAAATACAACACATAATTTAAATGAAGCAATTAATTTCATTTTTCCTACAAATATACTATCTATTTGCTTACAATAAGCTATACTTTCAACATTAAATAGAGAAGTAAACTCTATTAACAATATAGTTCTATAACGCCTAAAGGGCAATTCTATTAACTTATACAGTATGGATACCATAGCGGATGATGAAACAAACCACAATATACATAGAAATTATAATACTCAAAAAAATATGATAACTGCTGAACTATTAAATTCATTTAATTTATCTGAAATACCTACCCATATCCTTATATTAAAACATGGCTGTATTGCTACCATAATGAGAAATCTTTCAATACACGATAGTCTATGTAAAAACAGCATAATTTGTCAAATTAATTCTACCGCTTATACCATCTCATTTTCACATATGAAAAAAGATTGGTAAAAATGTAAGAGACGCTCGTGACTGGCGTTAATTTTATAATAAGAGGAATGCCGGCAAAGCAATATAATACTGGTAGTGTAATTTTAATATATTC